GAACACAAAGTATTCAACAAGGCCAAATGGAGCCCTTCATCTTATTTGTATAAGGAAAGACTGGCTTGTATTCCTTACCAAGCCTACTATGAACAAACACCCAGTATTATCACAAAGTTGTTCTCTAAACACAGAACAAACTACAATCTAGGGGACAACCCAAAGTTTGATCTTTTTCACTCTAAATCGAAAGTATTCCATAATTCTTTTGTTCACTGTGCTAGCCTTTTTTGGAAATGTCTACCAAACCAGTTGAACAGCTATTCATCTTTCAAAGCAAACCTTACAAAGTGCTTAAAGACTGTTGACCAAATTTCATTTGGTACCAATTCAACAGTGACCAACAACACAAATACCTTTGTACATTTTTTAAGTTAGTTTAAAGTAATAATGTTTGACATTTCTTCCTTTCATTTTTCATTATTATTATTATTGTAATACTATCTTAAAATTTTAATATTTACTGGATACATATTTTTGTATTTTTAAACTGCTATATAGCAGGTCCTCATCAGCAGCACAAACTGCTTTATCAAATAAAGTATGTAGATATGCATGTATGTATATGATGGAGAAATGGATCAATAGATATAAAAGAACTGACAGCCAATTACATATTAAAGCTGAAATTGTTTATAACTTAAACAAGTGCACGAGCAGGGATGTAGATAATAGCGGGAAGCCGGGAAAATTACCCGGCTGTGAACGCAATTTTGCGGCTGTGAAGCACTACTTCTTTCTCCAAAATGTTTTTAAATGTTGTCAGAAGATTGTTATTTATTTATTTCATTTGTTTACACCTTCAAATCTAGGTATAGCATGCCAAAGGCACGCTAGAGTGGGCCTTCGGCCCAAATACCCGCCTATCATTGCAAGATTCCTGCCTGTTAAAACCTTTAGCCACATCCCTGCATGAGAGCAGTAAACATTAACCCTATGCATTATCTTTTCCTGTGTTAGGGTTAGGGTCTTATCCAAATCCAAATTCCTAAAACATTATAAAGGTGTCCAAAGAAACTAAAAAAGAGTTACAGGAATATACGAGTAAATATACAGTTGATAAAACTGGAGAAGAAACTATAGACTATAAGCCTTGCAATGTGAGTAAAAATTTGGCTCTCACCATAACAAATGTAATCCAGCATTGGTCTAACCATTGGGTAATAGTGAACAATAGTCCCCATTTCCAGCTGACAGTAACCTGTCCATCAACTGTCAGCCAACAGGTTACCAACACATTACTGACAGCCAACATTGTTGAGTAGACCAAAAATTGACTGAAAACAGAGTCAAAACTTTTCCAGTCAAAACAGTGAATAGAAACATGTCAATCACATCATTCATACCTATCTACTTGATTCTGTTTAAACGGTAAAATAAGCTTGTTTAACCCATCTCCCAACCATAAATACTGAAATACCCATTTCTTATATCCTTGTTTGTACACAAAATGGCTCCTTTTCAACATTTTGCAAGTGAATGAACCAACAGGTCAAATACTTCTAACCAAATTAAGACTTTCTTAAAAGGGTTTTGGAGGCAGTGCATTCAAGGGATTGGGAACTAAAAAACCTTTTCAGTATGGTGGATAAATGAAATCTAAGCAATTTGGGAAAGTTTCGCTACCCAATGCAAAAAAGTGGGCAAAAGCTGCGATAGCTATTGAGAGTACAGTGCAAGGTATCTTTTTTTAAATGACTTTTTCCCTTTTTTACGTAGTTCTTGAAGCCAAAGATAGGTAAATGTTTATGATCATTTCAGTTTACAACCCACCAACAGGTTACCGACAGGTTGCCAACACATCACTGACTGTCAGCCAACAGTCAGCCAAAACTTTGGCCTGAAACATGACGAAAACTGTCAGCCAAGAGTATCTTTTGGGAACTGTTCTTCACTTTTACCAACAATAGGACTGGACTAACAAAGTTCATTATTTATGTTCCTTCTTGTTTGACCTTGGAAGCGTTCCATCAGCAACCACCCATGATGGTGGGAATAATAGAAGTAAGTAAATCTTTTAGGCACATCTCAGATTGTCCTGTAGTTTTCATTCACTGTGAAAGTAGCAGAACTACTCAAGTATCACTACCTTGTGTTTGCTGTCATATACAACAACCAATATCATAATCCACAGCTTCTTAATTCGTACCAAATTTCTTGTTAAATGCCATGCAGTGAATCAATTTAACAAAGCCCTTGCTAATCTATATTCCAACCCACACTTAACTTTTGGCTGCCGATTTGTCAACCCAATCTGCCACCAATTTAACTCTGTCAGGCTGTAATTGGTCTTAAAGCCATTTCCAAAACTTATGCCTTGTAGCAAATTGGTTGCATATTGCACACAAAGCTGGCATTCTGTTAGTTATCACATTTTTAAGATTCTTTTGCCAGTTTTTAAATCACTTGACAACCCTTTACACAGCTACTTAGCTGACAGATTTAGTTATCAAATGCATTCCAGGAACTAACAGTCAGCATCTGAGCTGCTGTTATAAACCTCCATCACCTACTAAAACCTGCCAAGACAAGGCTTTTCCAGTGTCTGCACCTAGACTGGAACTTGCCACCATCAGATTTGCACAAGTCCCCATCTGGTTTTAAAAAAGCACAGAAAACATATATTTCAAGGCAATTTTAAGAGAGCAGGTCAATGTTTTTGCAAAACAACTTTAAAACTTGTATATATCTTATACTGATACTTATAGAATGTATATTTGGTCTTTTGTATAACTTATTATAATCTAGGTATAACTTTTAAAAGAAGAAAGAGGTTTTTGAACAGGTTTTAATTTATCTCATTTCATGCTTGTGATATTGTAAAGCGCCATGACCTCAGGATACAAGCATTGTGGAAATGAAGTTATTTATTAAGAGAATGTAAACTCACTGACCTTGGATTTAAAAGTGTCAAAGACAAATTTGCATAAGTGTGCAGCACCTTGGAGTGCTCAGAGGATTATTAAATTTGGGGAGTTCACGGTACTTGGAATCTCACTGGATGATCTCCTTAGACAATATCCTTGGGATAAAACTTTCAGTCAATAAATTCCAGATTTAAAGACCAAACTAGCCTGTTCACCCTGTTAGTTTATCAGTGTTTGTCCAGGCATTGTGCAGCCAGACTGTTACATTTGTCATTTCATTTCTGCTTGGACATGTCATTCATCCTCTGGATGATGTGTCATAAGGGGAGAAAAAATATAACAAACCTAAAAATGTCAAAATAAAAAAGGTTCCTGAGAAGAACTTTGTTTGTCATATCTGGTCATGTATCCACAAGGCTACATGACAGTTTTCACTGCAACTCTACCAAGCAAAGCAAGAAACCCCCATTTTTTTGCAGTTCCTGGAGTGCAAGCATCATAAAAAACCTCAACCCACTTCATCACCCTAAACATCAGCAACCTATTCAAGCATCAACTCCAGTAGATTATTGTCATTATGAGGATTAAAAAAAAAAAGAACCATGATAGTAGGTAGTACCTCAATTGAAACAAAAAGACCTGTAGTGAAGCAAAAAGACTAGTTATCCAATCTGTTCAGTTAAAGTATGATGTAAAGTCTGAAACTTACAGTGGTAGCAAGTGACAAAGGAAATACTTGCATAGCATTTGGGGAAAAAATTGGAACAAAAGATAGAACTCAATGAAGAAAGAATAAAATGATCTACTTTTGATGTTTTTTAACCAATTAAATAGGTTGCCTGATTAAGTCATAGAGCACATATTTCTGGGTTCTAGAATGTGATACAAATCAAATGGTAAAGGTAAAGAATCCAATCCCACCAACATGTCAGCTGACACACTGCTGACACACTACCAACACGTCGGCTGACACACTACCAACACGTTGGCCAACACACTACCAATGCATCAGCCAACACACTACTGACACATTAGCTGTGGTTACATTAG